TAGCCACACCCCTTCTCCACTGTCCTCTGCCACTTGTTGTTCAGCTGCTGATGAGGGGTGAGGTGGGACCTAATTCCCTAAATAAATCCAAGTTTGTCAGACCAACACCATGGTAACAGAGGTAGCAGACAGATCACCCCTGAAACCACCTCCTTCTTGCTCCTGAAAATCCCAGGTTTATTTTCCTCTACCCTCAGGAAGGCTCCCCAATATTTGAAGCTAGAGGAGGCAGTGTGCCTTCCCCTACGGTCTGGGGCTTCTCATCCAGGGATGGGGAACCTGAGGCCTCAAGGCCACATGTGGCCCTCCAGATCCCCAAGTGCGGCCCCTTGACCAAATCCAAACTTCACAGGACAAATCCCTTTATTAAAAGCATTTGTTCTGAAAAACTTGGATACAGTCAAAAGGCTCAAGGATCCAGAAGGCCTAATTTAAAATTTTAAATTGGGCTTTAACCTTTCCCACTTCCTCTTAGTCTCTCCCAACATAGTGCAAACCAGGTGAGCATCCCGTTTACAAGCACACATGCAGCAGCGCCACATCTGCGCACTAAAGGTGCTCTCGGCATGTGTGATTGGTCGTGTCTAGCACTGAAATTTCGGATATTCTGTGTGATGAAGTAACAGAGACTGCTATTTCAAAAACATGCCTCGTAAACTTTTTGGAGTTCCCTCTTATGTTCCAGGCACTCATTCATTTTATGCGTTGGTTCATTCATTCCACTGATAAGGAAAAATTGACTGAGCTATGTTAGATACTGGACAAAGAAAGAAGAGAAGAACATCTCACCTTGAGATGTTAATTTGTAGGGGATGAAACAGATACACAAAACAATCACACCACTTTAATTCCCCCAATGTAACCAAGAGCAGAGCAGGCCTAGGTCACTGCTACTTGTGTGTAGATGTGCACCTGCAGACACTGCTGTCCCTAGGAAGAGCAGCACGTGGCAGAGGCTGCCACATTCCTCTATATGAAATGACACCCCCAATGCCGCTAAAGACAAGGGATCTCCCCCTCATTGGTCTCTGGATGTGGTGATTTTTCACACCTCTTGAGATCCATTCTTTCTACAGCCATGTTTGAAAAGTGGAAAGATACATTAACTTCCAGGCTAGAAAGTCACTTATATCAAGCTTTAAGAAAGTTTTAAGAAATGTATTGCTACATTTCCAGGGTGCAAAACGAGAGCAAATTTAGGTATATTCAAGATACTGGCAGAGAAGAGAGCTCCCAGCTGTGGGAAAGGGAAAGGGAAAAAAGAAGGGATGTCTTCGTGGAGGTGGTGACACTTGAGCCCCGGTTGTCACCAAGATGGAAATTACAGGCAGAGGTTGGGACAGAGAGAACAGCGCTGCCCTCCTGGTCCCCAGCTCCTCCCCCCACTCCACTTGCCACCCCCCAGGAAAAGTCCCCCCCTCTCCTCCAGGTGCCCACCCCTCTCTAATGACACTGAATCACCCCTGAGCAGGGAGTCTCATTGCGACTCAGGAAATCCTCTCGTTTCACGGGGGTGGGCGGGGGGGCGCGGAGGGCCGAGGCCTAGGAAGGTTGTGTGGCCTCCTAAAATGGCCTAACTCGGTATTAGGAAAAATAGTGCTTAAAAATCCAAACAGTCCAATCCAGTGTGGGAAGATTCGGGCAGAATAGATAATACTGAGAGAGACACGGGTGGGGACGCGGCGCCAGGGCTGAGCGCCGTCCGCCCCGCAGAGAACTACGTGTTCCAGAGGCGGGCGGAGTGCTACGCGCGCAACGGGACGCAGCGCTACGTGTACAGACAGATCTACAACCGCCAGGAGCACGTGCGCTTCGACAGCGACGTGGGCCTGTTCCAGGCGGTGACGGAGCTGGGGCGGCCGGACGCCGAGTACTGGAACGGGCAGAAGGACGTCCTGGATGACGCGCGGGCCGAGGTGGACACGGTGTGCAGACACAACTACGAGCTGAACGAGGCCGTCACCCTGAAGCGCCGAGGTGAGGCCTTGGTCCAGGGCCGGGGCGGCCGGGGGACCCAGGCCCAGAGGGCAGGGACAGCCAGGCCGCGTCAGGGGCCGTCGAGGGGAAGGGAAGGAGGAGCCTTGGGGCCTGGGCATGATGGGGGCGCCAGGCCGGAGGCTTGTCCCGGAGCGAGGCCTGAGCTGGGCCGAGCACGGATGGGGGGAGATGGAGGCAGACGGATCCTCAGGCCTGGCAGCCGACCGGGTGTGGGCTGAGGGGACCCAGGAGACAGGGACACGTGCAGGGCCGTG